GCGTAAAAGAAAAAAAAAAGAAAAAACCGGAAGTCGAAAATCTAACGATAAATACACCATGAAATGCAATGTTGAAGTGCTACGTACACGGAGATAACTGAAATTGCAACAAAACGTGTAGCAAAAAAAAAAAAAATAATAAAAAACGACATCAATTTCACAACAAAATTGCATATGTCCACCATAACACCATAACATGAAAGATGCAGCGTTGTGACGAAATAACTCATATTTTTGGAAAAAAACAACGACCTCAATTTCGTGAAAATAGTAAAAAATGTCAATTTTAACGAAATATCAGTTAATGGGAATTTTCTCATGGAGTGCAAATTGTGTGGTCAGGGGTTTCAAGGAAGTCAGACGAAGGCCGCAGAACACTTCACATTAAAGAACAACTGTGCTAAAGTCTCCGTGGAGCAGCTCGCGGAGATTTGGAACAAGACGAAGTACTCGTTCGGTCAGAGCCACCATCGGAGGATCCTCGACTTCGTGAGGTCTTGTGGGTTTCGAGACAATGGAAATACTTCGGGGAGGGAGCAGGCGGGGGATGAGGAGTACGACGACAGCGAGGACGAGAGGAGGGCGGCCGAGGGGGGAGGTGATGATGGACAGAGATACACATGACATGGACGTGCGGCGAGAGGTGGAGCACGCCAAGAGTAAGATGAGGGGGGACAAGGTCGTTGACGAGGACACTACCCCGGACGAGGACAACGACGATGACGATGACGACAAGGATCAGGGCGCAGACATTGGAGCCTCTCTTGATGGGGGGCTGATGGCCGCTGGCCGTCGAGGCTAAGAGGGGGCTGCCAAAGCGATGAAGGAGGCCACAAAATCGAAGAAGAGAAAGAGGAAGGCAAAAAAGACCGTCACAAAGGCGACACCAGCACCTCCTCTGCCGAAGAAGGGCAAAGTACTTCGACAGACATCCATGGTGGAGACCTTCAATCTGGTGTGGCAACGAGAGTTTTCGAACTCCTTCCTGCAGTGGTGGTACGTGAGCGACATTCCATTTGAGGCGGCAGGGAGGCCGGAGTACCAGCAAGTGAGGAGGCGGTTGCTCGAGTGTCCACCGTGCACACATGCTGTGTTGCCCACACACCGTGTGATTTCCAATGACGGCATCCCAGAGAAGCAGCGAGTTGTGGCGGAGATGGTGGCGGTCGTCCGCAAGGACATTACAGCGACGGGAGCGACCATCCTCACGGATGGTTGCAAGTCCATCACAAGCGACCAGATAGTCAACTTCCTTGCTGCTGGGCCCACGGGAGCCACCTTTTCATGACTGTGCAGCGCGCTGTTCAGGAAACAGCCGAGGCCGTGGTGGAGCGATGGAAGGACGTGTTCGACAAGTTCGGTGTCGAAAACGTCAACGCCATTTGCACTGATTCCGCGTCCGCGTCTGTGGCTGCATCCAAGCTCCTCGCGAAGGAGGAAGTCAAGTACAGTCGCATTACTTGGCTTCCGTGTGCGGTCCATGTCTGCAACTTGTTGTTGTCAGACATCGTGAAGGACGGCACCAACGGGAAGCTTGGGAAGAGGGAGGACACCATCATTAGGGCTCGAGTTGTCGTGTGTTTCATCAGAGAGCACGGGGCGGCTCTTGGCCTTTATCGACGGTTCTCTGCCGCCCACCTCTTCCGCCTCCGCAGTTGCGGCCAGTTCCAACGCTGCGCCACCCTCGTCTCAGCAGCGAGGCAGAGAGCTTGTGTACCCCGCACAGACGAGGTTTGCAACGCACTACATGATGCTAGAGAGGTTGTTGGATCGTCGCCGAGCGTTGGAGGCGTGAGCGACGACTGGTTGCGGACTGCATGGAGGAGGTCCGTTTTCTTGCAGGCCAGGTGGGTGCGTCATCAAGTGCGGTACGCGTCATTTTGGGAGCACGTGGAGGACATCGTGGAACTGATGACGCCTGTGATGCAGCTGCTACGCCGTTTGGACAGAGGGGGGCGCGTGATGACTCGCATGTGGTCGTGGGCGCTTGCCATGGTTGACAGGGTGGTGAGGGCGAGACTGAACAGGACGTCGATGGAGGAGCTCAACATCATTGTTCAGGCTTGTCAGGCGCGGGTCGATCATATGTTGTAGCCCGCACATTGCATGGCCCACCTCCTCAACCCTCGCCACAGGAGCATTACGTATTTTGGAACGGCGAGGCGCAGCAAGCACGATAAGACACTTGCAGAGGAGTTGCTGCGATACCTTCGCCAGCAGACTGGCGGAGATGAGGATTTGTATCAGACGTTGCACACACAGTTGGCGGAGTTTCTTAGTCGGGAGGGCGATTTACGGAGGGGTTGAGGGTGACGGGGACGCGGCCTCCTACAGAGGGGAGAAGGAGACGTCGCAGGTCGGGAAGTGGTGGGTGCAGCACGGGGACGGGGTCCCTCTCCTTCAGAGTTACACCATTCGCCTGACGCACACATGGACGTGCGCCTCTCCAGCGGAGAGGAACTGGGTCGTCCATGAGCGTGTTCAGGTGAAGAAGCGTAACCAGCTTGGTTTTATCAAGCTTGCTCGTTTGGTGGAGATATCCACCAACTTGAGATTGAGTCACTGTCAAGGGAGGGGTTCAGGGTACGTTTTGCCATGGGAGGATGCTGAGGAGGAGTCAGAGGACACTATTCCTCCGCCTCGCGACGAGGGTGTTCGGCCAGCTGACCGAGTCACGGAGGCGCAGCGCGAGCGGCAGATGCAGCGCGGGCGGAAGGATCGTCTTTCGAAGGCTCCGCCTTGCGTCCAGACGTATTTCGGTCGTCGCGCCACGGTGCTCATGCCGACTGACTTGGACGCCGTGTACGATCCCGAGCCTGATCCTATGGCTCAGGACCCGATTGATGCGGAGCCGTGGTCTGATCTAGACGATCTGGCAGTGGAGTTAGAGCCTGGAGATTCTGATGATGGTCGCGACGATGTTCCTCTCGCCGAGACGTTGCGTCCTCGGACGCGTGCTTCCACTGCAGCCGCTGCGCTGCGTCCCCCTCCCCCTCCACCTCCGCCTTCAAGTGCTCGTGCTTCCACTGCAGCCGCTGCGCAACATCCCCCTCCCCCTCCCCCTCCGTCTTCAAGTGCTCGTGCTTCCACTGGAGCCGCTGCGCGGCATCCCCCTCCACCTATAGATCGTCCTGGACATGGCGAGTAGGGGACTCTGGAGATTGTTGACGAGGGAGACGACGACGACGACGATGACAGGGAGGGGTACGAGGGTAGCAGTGAGGACGAGGATGATCTCGACTATTCCCCAACACGCGGACGTGGTGACGACGACCACGACGGCGGCGATGGTACACAGGCTGCAGGTGGTTTGAGGACGTCGGTTCGACAGCGTGCCGACCGATGCAGTGGTGCAGGCAGGGGAGGCAGTGGTGCAGGCAGGGGTGTGGAGGGTGCATGACACACAGGGGGGTGCAGGCCGTGGTGGCGGAGGATGGGCGAGGCGAGAGTCTGCATCGTCCACTCGCACTGTGCACTGGGTTGATGAGGGTGCCGCGACAGGAGAGGTCGGCACCGGGTCGGCAGAGTTTGGTGCTGCGTCGGCAGAGTTTGGTGCTGCGTCGGCAAAGGCCGCTCCCTTCGCTGCAGAGTTTGCCGCGGAGTCTGAGGAGGTCGCAGGCGGGCTTGCAGAGGTTGATGGCAAGGCTGCACATGTTCGGAGGGCTTCTGCGCAGTTGGGTGCCAGTTTCAGTGGTATTTTTGATGTTTCGTTAGGGCTTTCTCCGACACCGGCAGGCGAGCATGGCAATGGTGATGCCGACGCAGCGGCTACGCCCGTCAGTTAGATACTCCGGGATATACCTTCATGCAGCATGGGTGACATCAGTAGCAGCATGTTGCTGAAGGCAGCAGAGGGGACACGGTTCGTCGGGGCAGCAGGAGCGTGCAGTAGGGAATGATGGGGATTGTCGACCTGTGCAGGAGCGAGCGCCAGAATCGGAGCAGGATAGGATTGACCGCGAGGAGAGGGAGAGGCCGCAGAACTTGGCTAGTCGTTGCGAGATGACACAGAGTATTGCATTGAGGGCATGGGCAGAGTGGATGCTCGAGACGGGCGGTGGTGAGGGTCATCGTGCGATGGGCGATGAAGTGCTTGAGTGTGGTCATGCGGGCGGTGGGGATGGAGGCGAGAGACCCGCGTCGCCGGTTCAGGGTATTTGTATATTGCCTATCGGTGGACCCATGACGGCGGGGGAGTTGGAGCGGCAGGCACGGGAGGACCCATTGCAGGCAGATCGACGCGGATGGATGGATGAGGCGTCGAGGAGGTTCATGGCAGAGGGCCCAGCTTACGTGTCGTGCAGCCCGTCACTGCCATCGTCCACCACAGATGCCACTACCCCCGTACATGTTGAGGGTCCAGTCACGGGACGGATTCCCGCACTGGCACCTGCAGAGTCTCCGTCTCCTAAATCATGGAAGAAGAAGATGAGAGTAGGTAAGAGTCTTAGTACTGTGAGGAGGGTGACGCAGACGATGCGGGAGAGTCAACCCGGGTTGGCCGGTTTACATCCGCGAACTCGGGATGCATTGGTCGGGGACGTTGTCGCGGAGACAGCAGGTTGGAGGGAGAGGGCCTCCACCCGGGCGACGGAGCAGCCCATGACAGCACCTGCTGAGGCGGCGATGCCACGTACTGGGGGGCATACAACAGGTAGGGGGGAGTAGGCGGAGCATAGTGACCCCCCCGGGAGGACCATGGTCGAACGTATATTGCGGGAGGATGTGAGGGCGGTGCCTGCACAGCGACCGTCACTGACAACAGTCGTTTGGGAGTCGGGTACCGACGATTTGGAGATGCCTCTTGGCCAGCGGAAGAGGGTTTCCGTATACGACCTTCTTCGAGCACAGCGCGGGGTTGAGGCGGCGCCACAGGTGGGGGTTCATGCTCCGGATACTGCGCACGGGCTGGTAGGCGGCACAGGTGGCGGCGATGGTGTCACAGGTGTGGCTCCACAGAGGAGGAGGAAGGACATTGTGGACGACGATGATGTTTAGTCCCACGGGGGGTCCTCTTTCGTCCTGTATTTCTTAGTAGTGTATAGTATATTTAGTGGTTCGGATGAGGTAATGTGTTCATAGGTGTAGTCTGTGCAACTCGTCATGACTGCATTTGTATTTGTACAAATGGTTAGACTATTGCACATTTTTTCCATACACAGGTGCAGTAGGTGCAGATTGTTGTTTCTTGTTCGTTTTATTTTCGCATCGATGTTTCAGAGGATTGCACTCTTTATTCAAACATGGGCGCAGCATCTGCAGCGCTTGCATTTTTTTTGTTTTCCTTCTACTTTTCTATCGATGTTTCAGACGATTGCACACTTTCTTCGCACATTGTTTGATTGAGTTCAGTCTCCATGTTTCATTTATTGTCGTGTATGTATGGTGCAGTTGTTTCGCCTTGTTGTTTCGTTGCCCTGTAATGTTGTGGTTTCTAAATTTCTGCAACGATTGTCACTCGCAGATAATGGTCAATGACTCGATGCTTCTGAAAACTGTTTGTAATTGTTGTTGTTTGGAATCACGAACTTCATGTACGCTTATACTTATTTCGTCTTGTGTTTCGTTCGCCTATGATGCATTTGTCAACAACCCCCACACAACCCTCCCCAAGGGCAAACCAAAGGACGACCTTGGCAAAGACTTCCCAAAGGACCCCCGAA